TTTCCGACCCCCCACCCCAGGCCCCACTCACTCCAAATGTCCAACATACCTCCCCCAAAGCTCCAACACAGCTCCAAGTCGGCCACTGACAGCCCCTCGGAGCCGACTTACAACAATGTTTGAAGACTTGGTCGAATGATGTTGGAGGAACTGCTGGACCCCCTTTACTCTCCCAGTCGTGATCCAGCACTCTAAGCAATCAGAACTCGGCCACCACCGAACGACCCTTGCACACGGTGAGGGCATTGGATAAGGAACCCTTAAATAAGGGATCCAGGGTCTGGAAGCCCGCGGAACTCCAATCGTGGAGGGGTACCACCGCCGCCCTCATCAGGTAAGGAATCCTCCAGGGTCTGAAGCCTCCTGGGCACGTTCCTTAACGAACGCCCCCACCGTAGCTTATCGGCCTTATCAGAAGTCAGCCATTCCCAGGGGGGTGGGGACGGCGGGCGTCTTTATGCCAGACTGGCATATCAACATCAGTTATCACTACACATGTTGGTAGGCTGGCTGCGATATTACTATCCTGGATGTGCTTCCAGATAATCCCACCAGCCCTCTGGGCGTAGGTGGTCTAGAACAGATCCTCTTCCACCCCTCCCTCTTCTCCCTTGGGGAGGGGTTTACCCCTCCCCCTACCCCCTCCCCTGGACCTGGACGGGGCGGGCCGCGAGGTGTCGGACGGCTCTTTGGGCCACAAGATAGGAAGCCACAATCATCGGTTTTACTAGGGTTTTGGCCGATGTTGGAGGCTCCCGAGGGGGGAGGCTAATTGAACCCCCCTTTTGTTTGATCGATCACCTCCAAGATGGCCCCAAGAGCGCTCCCAAGGCTCCCAAGAGCGCCCCAAGAGGGCCTCAAGAGGCGCCCAGGAGGTCCCAAGAGGCGACCAGGAGGCCCCAAGAGGCCTCCAAGAGTCCCCCAAAATACCCCCAAGAGGCCCCCAAGAGGCCCCAAGAGGCTCCCACGAGGCACCCAAGACGGTCCAAGAAACTCCAGGGACCGCCAAGAGGCCCCCAAGACGCCCCAAGAGACCTCAAAGAGTATCCCAAGAGACACCCCAAGAGACTCCGCGAGGCATTCAAGAGGCCTTTGACTCTTCTGATCGCCCTTATCCTCCTCCTCCTCCTCCTCCCCCTCATCATCATCACCATCATCATCATCATCATCATCATCATCATCATCATCATCATCATCATCATCATCATCATCATCATCATCATCATCATCATCGTCATCATCATCATCATCATCAGCATCATCATCATCAGCATCATCATCATCATCATCATCATCATCATCATCATCATCAACCATCTCCATCACCATCACCATCGTCAAGACCACCACCATCATCGTCATCATCAACATCATCAATATCAACATCAACATCATCATCCGCCTATTCCTCCTCCTCCTCCTCATTCCTCCCTCCCCACCCTCATCATCCTCCTCCCCTTCCGCCTCCGAGACGTCCTCCATCCCCCCCTCCCCCCTTGGGGTACGACGGCCTCCCCAGCCCCTTGTTCCTCTGTATGCTGCCCCGCTTCCATGATCACCTCTACTCGCCTGGGCGTCGTTTCTGGATGGGCTGGTGGGGATACGCGAAGCGTCAAGAATTGCCCCCTTAAAACTGAGCTGCAGACGCCAGCCGATAACACGACAGCAACACCAATACATAGAGACAAGTCGGGCACATGATTCGTATAACCGAGGCTTGGACAGTGCTTCCCCCCGACGATCGTGCAAGGCCACAGCATGTAGAAACGAGACAAAGCATACAACAACAATGATAATACCCTTCACAACATTGCCACGCGCATAGTTCGCGCCCCGTGCAACAGTCCATGCAGCAACGCTGTTGGGTGCGACGTCGATTTCACGAGGAGAACAACGCGGCTAGAAATGGGCTCACAACCAAATAAACGATGGGTCGACGATCGACGAATACGTCGAACACGAAAGTCGCATGCTTGATCAGGCAGACGCTCTATACGTGACGAGTAGCAGCTACTATATTATGACTGCGCTGCATCTCTGCGACATGCGACACACATACAACAGACATCTTCGGACTCTCATCCGAATATGCTGCCGATACTTGCGGCTGATGGTATCGAGTGTGCTGACAGCGGCGCTCGATGTTGAAAGTTGGACATATTCCCCGCTGACAATGGAGAGGAAGGTGAGACAGTCCCAATTAACATACTTACCTGAACCTCACGAAGCAAGCTTCTGGTATACCAGAAAGCTGTTCCAGAGTGTGGGTCGATGGAGGATGCTTGAGGATGTGTCAAGCCGGGCGCCATCACCCATCGACTTCCACACCCACCCACCACGATAGGTAAAGTCAGAGCGCGCGCCTCCTTTCGGCGGCGGACAAACCTCCCTTTAGCAAACCTTCCTTTAGTGAAAACGGCCTGGGACCGAAACCGACAGAACTGGGCCCGCAAAAATGACGGCCGCAACGCCCTCTCGCGAACCGAAAACTTCCAATTCC